TCGCTTCGGATTTCTCCGATGCGGCGGGTTCCTCGATGTGGGCTTGCCCACGTTCCAACGGCACAGGATCATCTCGTGTCCTAGCACTGGCAACAGGTGGATGAGATGCAGGGTCTTTCAACAACCTCATCGGGAAGATGAACTCATCGGTCGGAAGCTCAATGCGCTTAGTTCGCTGTACCGTGAGGGACGCATGTTCGATATGGTAATCGAGCCCTTCTAGTTTTGCAACGAGGAACTCACCCTTCCATGCGAACCCAGGCTGAATATGGTACCCGAGAAACACGCCTTCATTCGATGTTGGCGAAGTCTTGCCTGCCTGATTGTCAGCTCGTGCAGGGTTGTTCCAGAACAGTATCTTTGCTCCGAAAGGTATCTCAGCTTCATCAAAGGTCTTGTTAAACCTGAGGTACCATGGCGAATCATTTCCATTCAACTGTGGCAGGATGTTGGTCGCAACTGCATTGTGCTGGATGGCAAATGGCCACATCGACAGTGGGAACCCTGACTGGACAAGGTTCGCACGTGCTCCCTCCAACAGATGTCTGATTTCCCTTTCCACGAAAGATTTGGAAGAATCAACATATTCAATGGAGGTCTGATGACGGTACCCCAACTGCTCTATTGCGGCTTTCAATTCCCGGGAGTTATCAGTGTAGAGAACCTCAACCTCATCCCTACCGGAAATGAAATGCTGGATCCCTGCAACGGATTGCTCCGTGCTTTTGCTGGTCGACGGGTAAACGTACCTGAACTGCGTATGCACGTCCTTGATCACAAGAGCACACCATTCACCTTTTATGCCTTGCTCGATGTTGGCCTTGAGAATCACATGATCAGCAATGATGTGATCTCCAAACGCTTTCGTCTCGAGCCTTCCCTGCCCGCCTTTCGATCTTGCATATGGGGCAAGCATCTTGGCACGTTGGCAAGTGCGGCAAAAGGGATTCTTCGGATAGTGTGCAAACAAGTGCTCTTTGGTACCTGCTTCGGCAACCAGATCTTGCTCTTTGCGGGATCTCACAAACCGCTCAACTTCGTCGTCGGGATCATCACCTTCGTCGATGCCTTCGTCATGAACTGGCGCAGGCGCTGGCTTTGATGCTGCTACTGCACTCAACGATGGCTCAGCTTCACAACTAGAGTCCATGTATGGCACATGACCGTCAACCTTGAGCTGGATCAGAGCACCGTCAGGGCGAACCATGGTTGGTGCCTTCCCGGATTCCCAATGAAAGGAATATCCTTGATCCAGACACTTCACACCCAGCGACAGCACTGCGGGAGAACTCTCGAGGATGTAAGGCTGAGCAGGCTCGCACAATGCATCGACATTGATGTCGGCGATCTCGGAAGCAGTGATGTTTCCGTTTGCAGTCACAAGGCGAATAGGCTGCGGGGCCTGTTTTCGGATTGCCTTGGACGCATTCCTCAGTGCAGCCTTGCTGATGAGGTCCTGCTCACTACCGGAATCAATGAGCCACACATCCTTTCCCTTTGGGGCAGGGGTGGCTGCCCTTGGCGCTTCGACATCCTTGCGAACATCGTGAGGCGGCATGGCAACTCTCAGGCACTCATCACACGATAGGCTTGAGATGGAATCGGATTCCACATCGCACATGAAACCGCAAGCGGGCTGGGCTCCATTCTCCATGGCTTTGACTACGGCATTCAACTGATTCGCGGCCTTGCGCGCTGCCTTGTTAGTCCCTTTGGTCGGCCTGGGGCAGTCCTTGGCACTTGGAAACATCCTATTGTACTGACGTTCCTCATACTCAAGCTTGAAACCATCGCCTTCGGCGGGGATTTCATGAACATGAGCATTGGTGTCGAATGACACTCCGATTGGGTTGATCGGCTTTGCGAACATGGCGTACCTGGTGCAGACTGCAGCGGCTTTGGCCTTGGGCTTAGGCTTAGGTGAATTTGCACGCTTCTTAGCCGCAGGATTTGCATTGGCCTCGCTGCTCGATGCCGCGGCGGCAGATTTGCCGCCCGTGGAGGCATGGCTAAACTTGCATTTATCACCTCTCGTGCACTTCCCTTGGGCAAAGAAAGAACACGGTGCTTTCTCTCCTTTACCGCCTTTGGGGGAACTTGGCCTGCCGCGGGTCGCGGAGCGTCCTCGCGGCTCCTTGCGGTGCGCGTAAGGGCAGTTTGCCCCCCTCGTGCACGAGCCCTTCTGGAAGTCAAAACAGTACTTCTCCTCGGTGTCCTTCGGCTTAGGTGCGCTCTTTTTCTTGGGGTCCCTCTTTTCAGGGGCGGCAGCACCAGCCTTGGGCGTCGGGGCTTTACTGGCATTGACCTTGGACACGCGCTCTCGGTTCTCGCGAAGCCTATCCCTCTCGATTAGATCCCTCATGCAACGCATTAGGAAATCGTACGATTTATTGGGATCATCATCACGGCAACGATCATATGTGTCGATGTCGTACCGCAACAGATGGCAGCTTCTCACTTGGCGAAGCAAGATGTCTTTCAACACCTTTTCTTCCGGCGGCTTTTTCATGCCGGCGATCACGGAATCCCAAGCATTCAGGAAACGCTTGAGATCGATGATTCCTTCGCCGTGTCGCGAGACACGCAACAGGTCCTCCAAGGAGTAGAGGTTTCCGGCTTCTTCACTGGTCTTGAAATATTGGTCAAACATAAACAAGACCTGCCTTCCTCTCATGGCCTTTCCCTCCTTGGCACATTCTTCCTTTGCTGTTAGGATTCGCTGAGCCAGATCGCCTTTCGCTGAACGCATGAGCGCTGCGAGAATCTTCGTGTCTAGGGTCACGAATTTTCCCGGTTCGCCGAGCTCCTCCAACAGCTTCTTCTTGTCCTCGCGATCAGACCAGACTTCCATGATCCAAGGCCAAGCCTCGTCTGGACGGTCAGATGCAGCGCGGACATCCTCACGAACCGATGTTTTCCATTCACGGTACGTTTCAGGAGTTGGCATCTCCTTGAATCGCAACGTCTCGCTTTCGCGGGTTCTGGGCTTTTCATCGTTCGTGTGGCCTTTTACTAACTTCATCAACATTTTGGCGAATGCTTCTTGGCCGAGGTTAGGCCCAGGGCCATCACCTTCGTCTTCATCACCATCGCCATCGCCATCATCATCAGGTGGCGGACCGCCGGGAGGCTTACCACCCTGCTTGCGGTCAGTTGACATTGGCCCCTGAGAGAATTGCAGGGGTGGGACCGGTGCACTTGTTTTCACCGGGGATCGGCTGCTACCTGATGGCTTTTCAGCTGGTCCTTGCGGATCGCGAGCATCTGCGGGCAGTGCTTCGCATTCGGCAGTTGGAATCACGCTAGGGGTATATTCATCCCCGTAACCGTCATAGGTAACAAGCGACCTCAACTTTTCCTTTGCATACTGAAACGGATGGTTGGGACCGAGCTGACTTCATGTCGTCGGTCATCAACTCTGGTGAATCCTCTCGGGTATCACCTACCCCTTTGGGCTTCGATCCATCCTCGCGGAGGTCGTGTTGCTTCTGATACTTCTTCAGCTCATCAAGCTCGTCCTGCAGAAGCCCGTTTTGGTGTGCCATCATGTCAACCGCTCTGGCGTGTGTAGCCTCGACACGGGCTGTGTCATCGGCATGCTTGGCAGCTTGCTCATGGAGGAGCTGCTGAGCTTCAGCCAGGGTGGATTCGATGGCTTGCCTAAACTCAGTTGTTTTGCGTCCCATTTCCGCTTCATGCAATGCTTGGGCATTTTCCTCACACACTTGGCTTATCCTAGCTTCAGCGAAGTTCACTTCTTGCATGAACTCATCGCTCACTCGCTGTTCGTATTCACGAATCCTATGCGACTGGGCTTGCACACATTCAGCGTAGTGTGCATGCAGCTGATTCTGTGCGGCACGGAGCTCCTCACGGTTTTCCGCTTGCAAATGCGTTACAGCTGCTTGATGCAGGGCTTCGGCTTCAGACCTAATGGCTGCATCATTCCCAAAAGCAAAGATTGCGGTATTGTACAGTTGAAGGGAATTCATCAGGGTGCGGTTGTATTGCGCATTAGCGCTTGATGCGAACATTCGCACACCGCCGCCGGTGGCGTTGCCGGAGCTAGCTCCGGCAGCATCCACAGGCATGCTGGATCCATCAACTGGCACAAGGGAACCGTCCATTGCTTAGAGCTAGGGGCCTACGGCTGATAACCTATAGATTCAAGGGTTACCGGTTTGGGGCCCAAAAGGAAACAACAAACCGTCCAAGTGCGCTGCTCGCACATTTTCACGCTTGAACAGCCACACTGCGGATGCAACGGATGTAAAACCCCAAACTGACCGATCAAATTCTTCACCAACAAAGTGACGTGGTGGCATTACACAGTCTAAAACTTGACCCCATAAAGCTGGCAACTTGTTCACCACCTACGCTGAGCATCAAAATCCACAAATGCCATGCCAAACACACCATGCATGGAACACGTCGTGCCAACAAATGCAAAACCGCTCCGCCGTCCACGAGCACCCGTTGCATGGGTTCAAGTGGCAACTGCCCCTCCCTCGCCGCCACCCCCCCCCCAAAAAAAAAGAAAGAAAAAAGAGACGGAAAGACAGAGAGACCGAGAGAGAGAGAGAGAGAGAGAGAGAGAGAGAGAGAGAGAGCGAGGGAGAAAACGATTTGGCCTCACTGCCCGTGGGGCAGCGCGACGATTACGCTCGGTTGCTGGATGCTCCCAAGAGGTTCTCCTCAGTGGGCCTCGTGGTCATGGTGTTACCCCTCGCCGAACCAAAAACTTCCTTCCAAAAGCAGGCAACCCAGAAAAACCAGCAAGCATCCATGGATCAAAAACGCGTTCTTTGTTGCAGTCAGTGGACAAGAGCCAGCCAGCCAGCCAGCCAGCCAATTTTACCATGATCAAAGTCACCCCGCAAGTGGTGGGTTAAAGGGAAACACCCCCAATTTTGTGACTTCCCACCCACCCACCTACCCACCTACCCACCTACCCACCTACCCACTGATAACCACCAGATACTGACCCCAGCCCTCCGCTCCTGCAGTTTTCGCCGCTCGGCCAAGCCCACATCCCGCAGCTCCGCGCGCAGCCCAAAAGTCCGCCCGCGAGCTGTTGGGCTGGCGGGAGTGGGAACGCCCAGGGCGAGCATTGCGGGCCGCGGGGCAAGGGGGTGTCAGGGGGCCGTTTATTTTATTTTTTTTGGGGGGGGGGTTAGTAAAACCAGGAAATGAGGGAAACAACGGGAAACAATAAGAAACAGATGGAAAATTGAATGAGGCTTGCAACTAGTGGAACGCAGAGGAGCAGGCAGCAGGGCACATTCAAGGAAGCGTGAAGCGTCTGCCAGCATAGTTTGCCAGTGGCAGGGCAGCTCGAACCTCAACGGTCAACCAAAAAGGACACCTATGATTCCAATGCCTTTGAAAGGACCATGAGGCAAGTATCGCATTGAAGCTGCGAATGACCCCTCCAATGTAGAGCCACGGGAGACCCTAAAAACTACCTAGAGGCCTGGTTACATTGTGTCAGGCCTCTTGGGAAGCTCCAACCCCAGTGGCCGGTTTTCATTCTCCGAATCTCGTACAGAATGGCAGGCGCCCAGTTGAGACGCAAGGATGCTTGCACACTCCCCTCGAACTGGATGTTTTTTTTCGCCACCTTTTCTCGCACTGGCAGCTGGCCACCCACGCGGAGAGCGCTGGACATCCACTGTGCCGCAAGTCGCAGAGGGAAACTTCTTCACTCACTTGCTGAGTGGATGGCCCAAAAAAAGTCTGAACTTTATATTTACCACTAAAATAGTCTTCCCAAAAAGTTTAAAGTTCATGAACTCAGGAAGTGAGTTCAAGTCGTTTTCCCGCAACGGAGAACTTCCACAGGACTGCGAGGCATCTGGAAAAGAGCGCCTCCCGCGTCGCCCCGCCGAATCGAATCGAACTACATCCCGTGGCTGAGGCGGAGGCGGCTGCCGCCTTCGCCGACACCAGGCCTGACGCAAGGGGATGCGACGATCAGAATGGCGATAGGGTGACTTGGCAACCCGTCCGGACTTGCGACAACAAAACAAGGGGCTTCTGGCGGGGGAGCTTAAACATCTACAGCTTCAACCATCCATACATGTCTTGCCTGGTCCTGTCCCATCTAATCTTCCTCTGATTGAGAAGCCTACAGCAGTTGGGGCCCAGTTGGAGTAAATCGCTCCGGCGGAATCTCTGAGCCCCAGCTGCCAATGAAATTTCTCTCCTCAACGTGGAACCCACCAGGAGCTCCACGCTTCCATGAGGGTAGCACCCCATTCCGCAAGCCGAGGGCCAAACCAAACCAAGCCCCGCGTTTGAACCGCTGACTCGACGACGGCATAAGCCAACACCATCCACTGTCAAAAACATATCGACACTCACAAACCCTTGGAGGCCCAAGCTTAGAACACCAGCCCCAGGGAAGCCTTTGCCGCATGCACGCTTACCCATCCCCCTTTGCCCTTTTGGGAAAATCCAACTTTCCAGTGGAAGAGCATCCCAGGGCTCTTTTGCATTAATCTTCCCAAAAACCACTCAGCTTCCATTTGTGTGTACCGCATTCTCTCAGGGCCATGCTTGTCCTGCGAATGAAACCCCTGGCCAAATTCCACTGGAGGGTACTTGGCCGGTTTCCTGCCCGGCCTTTCTCTGCCTTGCCCAGCTTCTCCTGGAGGTCCCTGGGCCGAGTACCAAGGGAAGTTTCATCTTTGGAGCGCGCGGGTCCCTTCACATCGCCGACGACCCTCGCATCTTCAACCGAGGGTGGAAAACAAGGGAAGCTCCACTCCTTCTGCAAATCCAGCAGCTGGGGTTAAGAAAGGTCTTAGTGTTCGATTTTGGACCCCCATGTTTGAGCCACGCCCAAATCTTGCCACCGAGATGAAAGTTTCAGCCGCCTGATGTCTGTTTCAACCGATTCGAGGCTCCGGCTTCTTGGCCTGCTTGGCATCATCCAAGGCCTGCCCCGAGGCTCAGGTGTCCGGCATATTTGCTAACATTTGTAGGCGAGAGTGTGGGGAACATCCGATGCTCTCCAGAGTGGCCCGCTGACTCCCAAAGCTGCATTCGACAAACCAGATTTCCGTCAAAAGCCTGCTTTGCCCAACCAACCAGCCAGCCAGCCAACCAACCAACCACCCAGGCAGCCAGCCAGCCAACCAACCAACCATCCAGCCCAGCCCAGCCCAGCCCAATCCAAACCCACATGCCGGCAGGCAAGCAGGCAGTCCGGCAAGCAAGCAACAAAGGTAAAGCAAGCAAGGCAAAGCAAGCAAAGAAATGCAAGCAAAGCAAAGAAGCAACACAATTGCCTGCCTGCCTGCCTGCAAGCAAGCAAGCAAGCAACGAACATTTGACGACAAAAACAGAAAACAAACAACCCACAACACACACAACAACCAACAAACAACACACAACACGCAACCAGCAGCGAACAGCTAACACCAAACAACCAGCACACAACCAACAACTTACAACCAACCAACCAACCAATAACCAACCAGCCAGCCAGCCAGCCAGCCAGCCAGCCAGCCAGCCAACCAACCAACCAACCAACCAGCCAGCCAGCCAGCCAGCCAGCCAGCTACCCAGCCAGCCAGCCAGCCAGCCAGCCAAGCAAGCAAGCAAGCAAGCAAGCAAGCAAACAACAGCCCAACAAACAAACCCAAACAGAAAAACAAACAAACAAACAAACAAACGAACGAACGAACAAACAAACAGACAGACAAACAAACAAAAAACAAAACAACAAACAAACAAACAAATAAACAAACAAACAAACAAACAAACAAACAAGCAAAGAGAAAGAAAGAAAGAAAGAAAGAAAGAAAGAAAGAAAGAAAGAAAGAAAGAAAGAAAGAAAGAAAGAAAGAAAGAAAGAAAGAAAGAAAGAAAGAAAGAAAGAAAGAAAGAAAGAAAGAAAGAAAGAAAGCAGCAAACCACAAGCAACAGGCACCATAAACCAAGCAGCAGCAGCAGCAGCAGCAGCAGCAGCAGCAGCAGAAGCAGCAGCAGCAGCAGAAGCAGCAGCAGAAGCAGCAGCAGCAGCAGCAACAGCAGCAACAACAACAGCAGCATCATCATTAGCAGCACAGCAACAGCGAAAACAGCCGCAACGGCGCAACGGTGACGATGACGACAGCGGCGGCATGCTGCCGCAGCTGCTGCTACTACTTCCACTGCTGCGACTGCCACTGCAACTTCTACTGCTACTGCTTCTGCTACATGCTACTATAGTGCTACTGCTCCGACTGCAGCTGCTGCTCTCTCTCTCTCTCTCTCTCTCTCTCTCTGAACTCTTGCCTCTTGCCACCACTCACCAACGCCCACCCCTGCGCCGCGCTACCAACTGCTAGCACACTGCAACTGGCACGACCCATACCACAGCCGCAGCAGCCGCCGGAGCAACCGACCGAACGCCAACCCGATGATGACTGCAATGCAAATATTACCGCAATAATCGCAACACGACGTGCAATGCGGCCTTCTCAAGGTCCTGGTTGTCTTTGCGGAGCCTCGGAGGAGCAAGTAGCTGGTAAGGAGAAAGCCAACACCGCATGGGCAATTGAAACTGAAAAGTACACACACACAAACAAACAAACAAATCCCCAAACTGAATCGCCCTCCCAATACTCACCTACTGCTTGCTGCCACACTTCATTGATCACAGGAGCCACAAAACCACCCCCAATCAAAACCAGCAGCGGCGAAGACTTCCCAACAACAACTGAGAAAGTTCGCCGCTGCCAAAACCGGAAGCCTCTGCGCCCGCGCTGATGCACACTGCGCTTTTGCAAAGGGTGGGGCTCATCCGGGGCAGCTTCGGGAATGGAGTATGCGCCGAGACGAAGCCCTGAACGCCCCATTGCCGGGGGGCACCAAGACGAGGAGAAAAAAAAGACGAGCATTGCCGATGTGCATCGCCGATGTCATTTGCTGCTGCACGTCTATCCCTTCGAACTTCGGTCTGGAAAAGGTATGCTGTCGCATGGTTCCTTCACACAAGCGCCAGCCACACGAAAATTCCCAGAAGACCCAAGTCCGCGACATCGCGGCTGCAAATCAAGGCGCGCTGTTTTTTCCCCAACAGCTGAAAGCTTGGGGTCTCAGCCCAGATAGGCTCCGGGGTGGTTCGGGGCGACCCTGAGCTGAGGTTGAAACAGGGTTCCACCAGCGGTTCCACCAGGGTTCCACCAGGGTTCCACCATGGTTCCACCAGGGTTCCACCAAGGGCGGAGTGGGGTGGTTTGAGGTAAGGTTCCACGAGGGTTCCACCAGGGTTCCACCAATTTCTTCAAGGGCTGCAGAAGGTTTGAGGGTTCCGCCAGGCTCCCACCAGGGCCCCAGGCTGCGGGGTTCCACGAGGGTGGTCCGGCGGGGTGGTTTGAGGTAAGGTTCCACGAGGGTTCCACCAGGGTTCCAGCAAATTCTTCGAGGGCTGGGGTGGTCTGGTTTGAGGAAGGTTCCACCAGATTTCCACCAGAATTCTGCCGGGGTTTCACCAGGTTCTGCGAGGGCTGCAGGGTGGTCCGCCAGCCCGTCGTGCTCCGGACAAGGTCCACCAGGGTTCCACCAGGTTCGGGGAAGGTTCCACAAGGGTTCCACCAGGGTTTCCACCAGCGGGCTGGTTTGAGGTAATGTTCCATGAGAATTCCACCCGAATTCCACCAGGTTTTGCAAGGTAAGGTTCCATTCGGTTCTAGCAGGGTCCCACAAGGTTCTGGGTTGTATGAGGGTTTCAGGGTTCCACAAGACTCTGCGAGGGCTGTGGGCCCTGAGGTTTCACAGGGTTCCACAAAGCTCTGCAAGTTTTCCACACGGGTTCCACAAGGCTCCAATGCTCCACCAAGGGTGTGTCATGCGCCCGTCGTCTGGAAAGCCATCGGATCAAGATCGCTTTGCTCATAGGCGGAACACTAAGCAAAACCGAAATCAATGGTTTTTAGCACACTTTGTTACTTGCTCACTTGCTCAGGCAAATGTTGGCTTTGTGGCAAATCAGATCACGTCGCTGCGGAACTCACGGTGCAGCAGAGTAAATGCTTGGCATTGCTGCTTGGTGGGCTTTGGGTTCCAAGAATTCCACAAGGCTGCGAGGGCTATGAGGTCAGAAGGTTTCCACCAAATTCTGCAAAAGCTATGGGGCAGCCCTGAGGAAAG